TCTGAACCATTTCAATTATCACATTACGTAACTGACTTGAATCGTCATAAACATTATATTAATTTAATATTTTGAATTTAGTTGCACCTGTTAATGAAGTGATGGAAATTGCTCCCCCATAATAATGTCTTTTTAAGCACTAAGCTAATCATCATAATTTTCTTTTTAGACTGCATTTTTTTCTGGTGTAACATATGAATTATTTTGTTTTCACTGAAAAATATATTATTCTGAATAAAATTTTAGATGAAAAATTTTAAATTTAAATTATTAAAAAAATTGGGCAAAGTCATATACATAAGCATTATAATAGAATTAAAAAAAAAGATATGTATAAATGCATAATACATTGGAAGAGTTATTTCTAATTAAGTTTGATAAATTCTTTTCAAGTTGTATAAAAAAATAGCGTCAAAGAATATCTTAAACCTTAAATTATTGCATGAATAATTCATGGATTTTGAATTCCTAAAATTTACAAAAACTCCTTTTAACTTATAAATTTAGAGTGCTTGAACCTTGCTGTTAAATTGAAAAAAATGACCATTATTTTTAAATGTTAAAATGAGTGTCATATTAGCGTGCGATTGGGCTCTACAACTATGAAAGTAATGACTATTTTTTCCAACTGAATGATAAAATTTTTGAATGTTCAGAATATAAAAGTTGAGAAAACTTTTTACATATTTTAAAAGTTTAAGATTTAAGATACTATTCACATAGTAATTTAAGATTTAAGATGCTCATTAACCCTAAAAAAATATTTTAAATTTTTAAGGAATGAAATTGCAAGCATATTTCAAGATAAAAAAGGAAGAAGAAGAAGAAGAGGAAGCAAGAAGCAAATATATAAACTTGGAAGATACGTAGAAAAGGACTAATACTCAGGACAAAGAAATTAATTGTGACTTATTCTTTAAAAAAAAAAACGGTAACTTAAAATTGGAACGTATAAAAAGACACCTAACTATGGCTTTTGCCTGGTTTTGTTTTATCATTCAAGGTCCAAAAACAAAAAACCAAAAAAAAAAAAAAACCAAACTGATTTTTTAATTAAAAAAATTCTTTCCGTTAAGAAGGACTCTATTTACTTGTTTCGGTCAAAAGCCATTAATTCGCAATGCATGAAGGCTTTCATCACTTGCATTTCAAGTTAGTCATTTCTAGCATTCAAATATTCAAAGAATCCAATTCAATGCATTCCTCAAATTATCATCTTAATAATCAAGTAGCTTAATTACCTCAAATACATCTCAAAATTCAAGTTCCCTTTTTATAGTTATTTTGTCTTTTTTAAGCCACAGTTTGGATAAAAAACTAAAATACTGAAAGATATTCATGTATCTAATATTATAAAAGAACATGATATTTTGATTTATTGAAAAATATATTGAAATAATATATATATATATATATATATATATTAAAATTGTCCAAATTAAATCTGAATCTTGCAAATACTTGCAGGGACATAATGGTCATCATGGAGTTTTCAATTTACAGGGATTCTGAAATCAGCCATTTCCATAATTCCCGTCCGAACGTTATATGGCTCACGAAAGCATAGTGACTGTATTCTCTCGTTCACACAGTTCACATTAGCCCTCTTGCTTCCTTAATCCTTACTATCAATCTTCATTACCCTATAAAATCTCACAAAAATATTGACCTTTGTATGATTTTCAATAGAATCACCGATTATGGAGTTTTGCAGAACCCACTTTTTGGCCATACTCTCACTGGTGCTTCTGTTTCCAAGGACCACCAAAGGCTGGGGAGAAGATGGGCACGCCATCATCTGTAAGATCGCTCAGGTACCTCATTCTCTTTCAGCGTCTCAGTTTCTTGTCTCAAAACACTGCTACTTCATAATCGTTGTGTTGCTGTTATGTATGGATTGTATATGTGGTATTTTGTACCAGGGATTCTTGACTAGTCTTCTATTTTGCAATTGAATTTTGAACAGCCTCGGCTGAACAATGCAGCTGCAGAAGCAGTGCAGAATCTGCTGCCAAAATATGCAGAAAACGACTTGGGGAGAGTATGTTCATGGGCAGATCATGTTAAGTTCATCTTTCCCTGGTCATCTGCCTTGCACTACATTGATACTCCTGACAACCTTTGCAATTACCAGTACACCAGTATGATTCTTTTGCTATTTCTTCTTGTCTTGTACTTTCTATGCTTATTTGTTTCTGGCATTATGGCATTTCTCAGACACTGCCTTAGCTTTTTGACCAAATCTTTCAACAAGCACTTTTGGCAACTTTGTTAATGATTGATATTTCTGGGTTTCTAATTTGAGTGAGAGTACTTTTGTAATCTTGAGGGCATGAGATGATGGTAATATGGTGTTGTATTAACCAATTTGCCCTGAACATTCATTCAGGGGATTGCAAGGATGAGAATGGACTGAAGGGAAGATGTGTTGCAGGAGCCATCAACAATTACACCAACCAGCTCCTCAGCTATGGCAGAGATTCTGATTCACAATGTGAGAACTGATTTAAACACTTATATGATGCCAATAATCTCAAATTTAAACACTTTTTGTTAAGCTTTAATCAAAATTAAGTTGAGCTATGTATACTAATGGGATGACTTTGTTCATAAACACCTCTAAATAAGGTATTGAAAACTAGATTGGTCATTGAATCAGTTACAGAATTGGAATAAGGGCTAGTGGTCAAAACCATAGTCAAATTGTCATCAAACCAGCCATGAACAAAGCATTTCATTGAACTAGTTAGAATATTGATTTAATAATTTACTAGTTCAACCAACTAAGTTGACTTGATTTTTAATACCATCCCTTGCTAAGTCTTGAGAATTTTTTCCCCCATTCTCTATTGGCTGACCAAATTTCTATTTGGAATATGATGATAATATCACCATACCAGATAACCTCACCCAGGCACTTCTCTTCCTTTCTCATTTTATGGGAGATATACATCAGGTATGGGCATATATCTCGATAAAATATAATCTTTAAAGCACTCATCAGCCATATCCTCATATGTGAATTACCAATTTGATGATCATAATTAATTTGCAGCCTCTCCATGTGGGCTTTACTTCAGACAGGGGTGGCAATACAATCGATGTTCACTGGTACACTAGAAAGACAAATCTTCATCATGTCAGTTCATTTCCCATTTAGTTCATTAACCATATATACAGTCCTTCAAAATTTACCTTCACTGAAATTAATATATATAAGTTTTACTTCCTTGAACAGTTACGTATTAATACCATGTGGCAACTAATTGAGTACCGTATAGGTTTGGGATGATAGCATAATAGAAACAGCAGAGCAAAGATTCTACGACTCTGACATGGATGGCTTCATTGATGCAATCAAGAAGAATATTACGGTAGTTTTGCAATGGATTTTGCTGTCATCATCATTCTAACCAGAATCAGGGGGAAAATTCAAAGTTTGATGTTAACCAATTTTTTTTTTTGGGCACAGAAAGAATGGTCTGATCAAGTGGGAGACTGGGAGAGCTGTGATTATACCAAGACCACATGCCCAAATATGTACGTTTCACTAGACGTGATCAATAAAAAATAAGGAGACAGCAAATTATAACAAGACAAACATATTAGATATCTGACATACTTATATGTTTTTGTGATTGATTTGGTCTGCTGAAAAAATATCTTGCTATTTTGATTTTGATGCCTCCTTTTATTATTTACCACCTTTAAAACAATGAGAAATCCTGACATCTGTTTCCCTGTTAAGATATGCATCTGAAAGCATCAAAGCAGCATGTGAATGGGCATACAAAGATGTCTCTGAAAATTCAGTTCTTGGAGGTATGCCATGATAGGTTTTGAATGTTAAATAGTTATTGTGATAACTTTTTCCCCCTCTGACCCTTCCATGAAATATTAAACTATGCAGATGATTACTTCTCATCTCGTTTGCCAACAGTAAATCTGAGGTTAGCTCAAGGAGGAGTACGTTTGGCAGCCACACTTAATCGTATTTTCAGCTGAAATAGTTTGTTACTTTGCTGTAATCGATTGAAATATGAAGGAGATCTATAGATTCCTATCCTAGGAAATGATAAATTTCTAGCTCAATGTCAGTATATGTATGCATGTTTTATATCGCTATTATCATTATTCTCATGGTTAATTAAGCTGTCTTGCTTTGATTCCTTTACATTAGTGAACCAGCATACTTAATAAACTCAATTTTCTTGCATTTCTAAGCTCAAATCTCATGACACATTGTGTAATGCGCGTAAGCCCAAAGAGAAAACCCATCTCAAAAGACTAATAAACCCTACTCAACTTGCAAGGCTCCCGTGTGGGACTTGTGACAATGCCACCTTGTCAAGAGACGAGATCCTCGACGGCTTCACTCCACAACATTTCACTCAGCTTCTTGCAAGTCAAAACCCTCCATGGGTAATCCTTTTTATGACACCTACCTTTTAATAAAAGCACTAATATAACGAGCATAAGTTTAAAGGGAGAGCTCATCCCAAAAGATTAGTTTATTAGGTGGAGAGTCCCTTGAACTTATAAATCCCACTCAACTTGCAAGACTCCTCGATATGGGTTCATGACACATTGATATTTCAAATTAGGAGTCACATGTCCATGCTTTTTAGCTCAATCCCTATTATCTGCGTCAAGATTAGCTGACATTAAGCTGATAGAAATTTTATGGAAACTGAAAAGTGTGAGCATCCTTACTTAAACATAGAGTCATGCCATGCCCTATAAGAACCAGCATGACAAAATTGAGACATGGAATCTCACGCTAGCATGGCAATCTAGCAGAAAATATCACTATGGTTTCTTTACTACAAGGACAGTGCAATAGGCTTTACGAACAAAGTTGCTCATATTTTGTGTAACCAGTCACTTTTTAGATTGAGACTTGAATTTTGACAGTGGGCAACTCAAACCTGTTATATTTCTGTTTTGGTTTTTAATAATGAGTAGATTCTTCATTACGCATTTCTTGCAGCTAAGAAGAATTAAAAGCTAAATAACTGAACTACACATACATTTGACTTCAAAAATTTGACTTGGATATACAGAGAGATTATCAAGAAAAATAATTCACACTTGGGTAATTCAAGTTTACAGGGGCAAGCAGAATATAAACATTGTCCCCCATCTTAGTCATTAAAATGGATAGCAATTCATAGTTTTTTGACTCCTTCATGAAGCTTTTTTCTTTACAACGAGGACAGGACACTTGGCATGATGAGCACAATAGTTGCTAACGCTTCCCAGAAACGCCCTGTTCCAACAAGATATATTATCATCAGTATTTTCTATCTCAAGATGCAATAATAACAAGCTTTCTAGATAGGAAAAAAGCTCATATTGCATCATATTAGGGTATAATAATTTTTCCTGGAGGTTCTTTCTTGCTCATGTGATTACTGTCCCTCATGCATGAATGAATTTCTGATAGTTCTGTAAATTTTCTACTCTTCATAGGCAGAATATGTAAGCATATAATAATCATAGAAGATATGATATATCCTCATCAATTTTTACCAGAAACCTCATCAATTTTCTTTTATGCAAAAATTAACGGGAACGCTGTCAACTATGCAAACACTTGACAAAAATGAATGAAACAAAACGAAGTTTGAGAACCTCTGTAGTGGTCCACGGCCGTGGCTGCCAAGCACAAGTAGTTGGACTTTCAGTTTCTCCACTGCTTCACAAATTGCTTCTTTAGGACTTCCACTTTCTGTCAGTGTCTCTGCATCAATCTACAGGAACAAGACATGAGATCCTATGCTCATATACACTGCACACAGATGGTTTTGCTCCTCTTTTTATTAAAGCCAAGGCATGTTGAATTAGAAGCTTGAACACAGTTCATGAATTCAATATCCAAGATTCACAATGTCACTTCCAATATTCCTTGACCAGAATATAATCAGCCTGACATCCATCCATTGGACATCATTCTTGGAAAACTCAAGTATCCACAACAGTCAGAAACAAAGCAAGGGAAAAGTTGTAAATCAAAAGGCACACGAGCTCTTATACGGCATAACAATGGTTAAATTTAACTCTAGTTTGTTTCTTATAAATAAGTCCAGAGGTAGTATCATGTAAAAGTGGCTTATACAGACACAGCAACTCGTTGGAACAGCAGAAACCAACCACGTCTGTAATAATGCCTAAGAAGAAATGGTGTCACTTTTATCCAAGGGTTTGATTGGCAAAAAAGAAAACAATTAGAAAGTAAGAAACGGATCTACCAATACATAAAGAACTATAAACAACAACAAACAACCTTATAATACTAGGTAGAGTTGACTATATGGATTGAAAGACACTATTGTGCTCTGTTAACAACCAAATCTTTGGATATATTATCAACCAAAATATCTCTTTCACTAACTTCATTGAGTGTCCTCTTTGGTTTTTCTCCCCAACTCTTCAGAGGACTCGAAATTGTCTATTCAATCTTCCTCACTGATACTTCCAACCGCTTTTTTTGTACATGTTCAAACCATTTTAGACGATTTTCTACCATTTTCTCTTTATAATGCCACCAGAATGATGTGATTAAGGGGGAAAAAAAGAGGGTGAGCATACCCCATGTTGGGCACAGATTTCCTTAGCTTTCTGCAACAAAGCCAGGGTGAGCTTCTTTCGGTTTTCCTGCAAGGACTGTATCAACACGGGAGCTGTAAAACAAAAGGAAAACGTAAGAAACTAGGTTGGAGAGGAGAAGGAACAAGCAGGCTCTCAATTTTAGTTGTACACAAGAAAATGAAAGTATTTATCTAATTCAGTTGATATAAATGATATAAACTTGTGAATAACAATGATTTAATCTTCAATTGAAGGAGAAAACTTCGGAAGTGTGGAAGAAGAGAGAAGTAAAGGAAACGTACGGGCAGCACCGAAGGAGGAAGCATAAGCATAACCAAAATCGTCAACGGGTTGAGCAGAGAAGATGATGAGCTTAGAATCTGAAAGGATATGAGCAAGGTTTTGCAGAGCCCATTCCAGAGCGTATCTGCTGCATTCGCTTTCATCTATGCCTACCATCACCACCTTCTTCTCTCCTCCACCTTCTTCCATCTCTGTGTCTCTGAGTGTGTCCGTGAGCTTCTTCTCTGAGATATGGTCTTTGAATTCTGGTGGGGTTCTCACATATCTACCATTCTTGCCCAACTGTCAAACTCAGGAACTATTTGTCTGCGAATGATGTGTCGTAAGTCGTTAGTTTGCTCGTGAAGTTGCTGAATCCGTTCATGCCGTGAACGAATTTTGTTTCGGAGTATCGAACTATTGTTCTTTTTTGAAGTTTTGGATGAGTTAATAACATAATGTTGAATAGTTCAAATCCGTCGCTATTTGTTCTTGAGCTGGCTGACGCAAACGCGTCATCATTATTGGATGTACGGAAAAATAACTGGAAATTGGCCTTCCAAGTCAATCGATGAATGCTGCTAGTTTTGATGTTTCAGGAACTGCACGTTGTTTAAGCTAGATTGGGCATTGGCTTCAAGTCTTGGTTTTTGAGAAGTTAATAGACACTACCACTTAGAGTACGATATTTATTTCAATCCTATTTAATATTTATAGATATTTTAATAATTATTGTATTTATTTTTATCTTTTTACATCTATTAAATATTAAAAAGGTTATTAAATATTAAATTATTTTATTTTTAAAGAATATAAATATATAAGAGGAATAAAGTAAAAACTTGTTGATTAAAATTTTCTTTAATTCTAGTAAAAATATTTAAAGTTATTTGCAAATAAGATCATAGAAATACTCACAATGTTTTGATTCTCATATTTTCCATAACATTCTTTCTAATCAAAACAGTTTAAGTCAAATAAATTAATAATCTTTTTTTAATGCTCATATGGTCATGGATATGAGAGATTCCCCTCTCATATTGAAATGTTTTTTTCCCCCATATTCGTCTCCACGCCTCAACAATTAGCATGGAAGGAAATACAAAATAATATTCTTTTTTTTTTTTATTCCATCACCCAAATCATGACAAATATGAAACATTTTTACCTCCCAAAATCCTGAGAAATATGAGATATTACTATCCATCTAGACTAATCCTGATGTGTTGTGTGAGACTCTTTTTACCAACAATGGTCTCATGAATATGTCAAGAATGCTTTCAATATTTTTATTTAGCACAATAACATATTCCAAGATTAATGTAAAAATTGGTTTAAGGATTTATGAGTAAGGTTATAACAACTACTCAGTACCTGATGCAAGCCAGTATTGCGCTAGTGTGTCTGATGCAACCCGATCAAATCGAATTCTTCCATCTCACCAAAATAAAATTCTTTAGTTATAAAACAAAATTTTAAAAGGAGCAAGCCTAATTTAAAGCACATGTGTTTATGGATATTCAATAAAACTTCATACATAAAAAAGTTCATTTTCAATCACTAGTCTTAATTCCAGGTTTTAAAAAAATTCCCACATTTATCAGCTACTTGGTAGATAAGCTTCACCCACACACCCACGCCCACACAACTGCATTTTCTGGTATCAAAATGCCTAATTGAACGGTAATGAACTAGAGAGTTATCTATGGATCATGTTCTACTCGAAAACCAGGGAACTATAACTTTTAAAATTTGTCACGGAATTTTGTCTATTTTTTAACTTAGAAAAGGTTTTGGGGAAAAGAAAAAAACAGAAGAAATGAAAGTAGGTCAGACAACCAAATATCATGTTAGCCATGACACAGCAGAGCTAGCGGAAGCGGAAAGTCATAAGAAGTTGCCTGCATATACAGCCATACAAGCCACAAAGATAAGAGTGATAGATATAAATCAAGGAGCCTTGATAAGAATTAAAAGCACTCTCTGTTATCTTTGTTCTTCCGGTGAGGAACACAATCAGGAAACAACATCAAACATGATATTTGTCGAAGGAATTAGAGACTAATAAAATAGTAATATCATTCACAAGATCCCCATTACATCCTTAGGACCTTATTTAGACAGAATATAACTAAATTCTGAAACTACCATTTTTACCCCTAATTTCCCTAATTACCCTTACTATTCCTAATTCCCATGTATCAAAGTACTACATTAATCAACAGCTAAAAAGCACCTCTTCTGAGTTTGATCATTAGGTGTGCAAATCTCTAAACTGCTGCTTCTCCGTTCTTCACTTCATTGGGGCACATGACACAATAACTTGCTATTACTCTCAACTAGAAGAAATTCTTGAGAATCACCAAAACAAAGCAGTTACAAGGATCCGCAGGAATACTTAAAACCCCTAATTCTCCCCCTTATGAGTAAAAGACGATGACAACCGATGAATCTAAAGAATTCTGAAAAACAGAACATAAATGAAAACGGATATGCACATTCCTTGTCCTCTTCAAATTTTTACCAATCTTTGCATTGGCTGCGGCAACCTTCGTACAGATGCACCAAGAAATCAAAATGTAAAACAATTTAGATATATTTAGTTTGTATCGGAGATATTTTATAATTTTTGAAATTAGTTTGCTGGACTTGTCTCATTGAGCCATCTCATTCTCTTTCCAATTCCCAAGCTGAATTGAAGGGACATGTATTACTAATTATCTTCTTGAACATTTTGATAATTGAGAAACTGCTGCCATTGACATTCTTTTTGGAAGCAGGCTTAATTTAAGAGTCATCATTTCGAAGGAACTTTACAAATTTAGATTTCATCTCTGCTGGAATACGAACAGGACGGTAATTTTTGTCAAGCCATACAGCGGCACCCTTGGCTTCCAAAATCGGCTGCCATCAAATTCAGAAAATATCAAGAGAAACTATCAAGAATGAGGAGAAAGATTAAATTATAATTGACAGAGACGAACCTCTAGGCTTGGCAGCTTAAAGATGAAATGATCGAAGTACAATCGAGCAGCTGAAGAACCCGAAACTCTAACCCTTACAATAAACTTATCTCCACTCTGGTTGCACGTTCTTAGAATGAAATCAAATATTAGTAAATAGAACTATCCTTAATAAAGTTGAAACAGAGCATTAAAGGCTTACCCTTAGAGGAGCAAGGAATTTGAGTGACAATTCTGACAGGGCCAATGCATCACCACTACGGGCCACAGCATCAGCACTAATACCAATACTTTCTAAGAGTTCGTGACGACCTTATGAGCAAATTGATGCGCAAACAATCAATTTACGGATGTAAGCTAGGAAGTAAGTGATGAAATACAAAAATTAATATACTTTGAAGAAACTTCCTATAGGAAAAACCCAGGGTAGTAGCTCATTATCATTGTATTTTGCTTGTAAGAAACTTATCCAGGAAGAAGTAAGTTACTTTTATGTTATTTTAATACTTTCGTAAAGAGAGAAATCTGAATATTAACTTTATCTAGCCAAGTTATTAAGGTTTCCTTAATAGGTAAGAAAGTGAGTTTAAATGGACGAGCTTGCATTTGTAATGGGACACCTTGATGAATGTAATATGTGATTGAGATTTCTAATAGCTCTTTTCTCCCTTTGCGTTTCTGCCTCTCCTTCTTTTGCTCCCCCTACTATTCTGTTCTTCCTTCTCATTTCTCCCTCTCTTTGTTTCTATTTCTCCCTACTCTCTCCCTCTCTTTGTTCCTGTTTCTTCCTACTCCTAGGCTGTGCCTACTGCTGGAGAACGGAGAAAATTCTCCAGAGAGTCCAGTATACTCAGTTTTTAATGCTGCCAGAGCCTGAAACCCCATTTCCTGACATTAGTTCACAAAACGACCACCACCATCATTGATAGGAGAGGGAATTTGGTCAGACCCAGAAGCCACAACGCTTTCCTCCATTGCATGCACCACCACATGCCGGTGGAGTGCTCTGCGAGTGGTCTTCACGTGCCACATGCACCACAGCTACTGCTTATGACTTCAACGCCAATGTGCACAGTTCCAGAATCTTATTTTTTGGCATTTTTGGGCGCTTTCACAGAGCTTTCTACAGTTTTGAGTAATTTGAGAGTCCCAAATCATCATTTAGAGCATTATTTGGGGTAAAAACATTTCATGTTTTGTGGCTTTTAAAGCTTGTTGGCCTATCTTATGTGCAAGAAATCATTTCTGAAACTCTATTTTTTTTTTTATTATGTCCAAAATTCTTAAAAGTAATTTTGAGAAATCTGAAACGGATCAAAAGGAATATGTGGATCAAAAAATTCAAAAATTGAAGGAGTATATGAATAGTAAGTTTGATGAACCCTTAAGGGCTCTCAAATGTTTAAGCCATCAAAGGGGCATGCAGATAACTTTTTCCAGACAGGATTATGATATTTTCAAGGCACAAGAGAATGGTACCCTCATCAAAAAGCCTTCACCTATGTCAGCTATACAAAAAAAAAGATCCTAACAGCACTAGTGGCCTTGAAATTGGAAGCTTAGCTTTGGAAGAATTCAAGGCAATAACTGAGGCTAGCACAAATGTTATTAAGAAACAAGAGAATGATTCTAATTTAGAAGAAATCTCCATGAAATATGAAGGCATGAGTGTTGAATTGAATCAAGGTTTCAAATTGGTGACCAAAGATCTTGAGTCATAGGCCTTAGAGATTTTTCAAGTTAGGGATCTTGACAAGAGGAGTGTTCAACTTTGTCAAAGTCCTACTTCCAATCATCAATGTGCTACACCATTTGCTGCAAAAGTTGTTGTGGTTATGAAAGAACATATTGTTTTCCCATTTGATAACAACCTCTATAACTACCTTGTTCATTGGAAAAGTTTGCCAAATCACTATGATCACTATGAATTAATATATATTGAAGAAAGCTCCTATAGGAAAAACCTAGGCTAGTAGCTTATTATCATTGTATTTTGCTTGTAATACACCTATCTAGGAAGAAGTAAGCTGCTTTTGTGTTATTTTAATACTTCTGTAAAGAAGGAAATCTGAATAATAACTTTATTTAGCCAAGTTATAAAGGTTTCCTTAATAGGTAGGAAAGTTAGTTTAAATAGACCAGCTTGCATTTGTAATGGGACACCTCGATGAATGCAATATTTGATTGAGATTTCTGATAGCTCTTCTCTCTCTTTGCGTTTCTGCCTCTCCCTCTCTTGCTCCCCCTATTGTTCTGTTCTTCATTCTCATTTCTCCCTCTCTCTGTTTCTATTTCTCCCTACTCCCTCCCTTCATTAAGATCTATGCAGGTGTGTGTGAGTGTCTACTACATCAGTAAGCCTCACAGTTTTCATTCAATGTAGAGTAGACAATTTAAGATAACTATACCATGGAACCCAAATCATTTCAATTTGAAACTTTGTAAAACTTCTGATGATGAGAAAACGCTCTCAATCATACATATTATATAAGTAGTATTATGTCGGCAACAACTCCATCAAGTAAAATATACAGGTTACTCCTCCCCAATTTATGAACAAGATCGGATGTAAAAGATTGTATAACAAGTACAAACAAGAGGCTATAACTCCAAGGATTGTATATAACTATCTAATACTTTTTGCACTTTTCATGAAAGTATGTGTACCTTTATTATCATAATTAAGAAAGAACCTAGAACTGTAAATAATAAGACAATCATGCATAGTCTTTGGCCATGCGATATGTTATCAACAGACAACAGAATGATCTTCAAAAATCATGATACATGGTTTGTTTTTCTTTTCAAGTAAAGTTGTGAATCAAATATAAAATATTGTCATATATCATTTATGATAAGTATTCAAAATTCAGATAATAAAGAAGCATTTATTGGGATAACTCATATTGAAAGATAATAATTCAGTCAGAGAAACAGTTCACGGTGCTGGGAACTGAAACGTACAAGCTCATGAAGTCTCACCATGTTGGCAATAACTTGCATAAACAGCATTGTTGACCACACCATACTGATCCAGCTCATAATCACGGACTTTAAGTTCAACATCAAAGAACCCACTCATTCTGCAAAGTCACAAGTCAGTGTATGAGCAAAGCCTTCATCATATGTTACAGTATACATATGACTACGAGCTTGTAAGAAGAAAATAATGTGTGATCCAATGATTGACTGAGTTCCATTTCAATCAACTTAATGAACTAACGCAAAATGTAGTGTCTACCTAGAAGTTCAAAAGCTTCCCTAACATTTCAAAATTTCTTTTTTAATTTCAAGTCAAGAATGTGGGAACAAATATTCCAAAGTAATCAACGTATCTGAAGCCGCTCAAAGAAAAATATATTACTTCATCCAATAGAATATATATATATATATATATATATGTAGATTCCTCTCCATCGAACGTCAGGAACCCTCCCGGTGTGCAAAATTGCATACACCAGGGTAGGCCAAGAGGATTAAATAAAACTTAGCCGCAGGCCATCAATTGCAAACAGATAAGCTTTAATTCCAAGTTCCTAACATGGACATAAATGCTACCAGAAAAGTTCAGTTGCCATCGTAAGCAAGTTTTTATTTCATCCTAAAGAAGCTTTGCCACCCAGGTTCCTAGCTTCAATTTCAAATTCCGCTCTATCAAACAGATAAGACAAGCAAGGAAGTGAATGACACAGAGAATAAAGAGTAGTCATGTCAGTGGCAATCGCAATTACCCTTTCCCAGCTTTCAGATCAAAAATTGGTGGGGAAGTGGAGGAGCTCCTCACCGGGATAACTGATCGGAGCGGCGGCGGCGGCGGCTTGAAAGGCCGGTGGATACTCTGGAGAGAGGGTGTTGGGTGGCGGAGATGAAATGACGTAGGATTGAAGATGAGAGAAGGCATCATTGTAGCAGTAGCTATCATAGAGGAAGCGAATGAAAATGGCGGCAACACTTCGAAAGATTTAGGGATTTCCGTCGAAAATCAGAGGCGTTACAACCCATGCAGATGTAACTACTTTACGGCGACTGAGTGGGATTTTCTTTTCTTTTTCGTTTTTTTTTTTAAGCAAAGAGTGGGATTTTCATTTTAACTCTCTCTCTCCCCCTCTCGCGACAAAAGAAATTGTGGATTTGTCATTTGTTATTTATCTTATATAAAAAAAAACTTGTCATTAATTATATTATTAAAAAATGTATGCAACTGGATTTAGTTTCTAAATTTTATTTGGAAAAACTTAATTTTTATAATTTATTGATTCTGAACAATGCTTGATATAATTCATTATCTATAATTCTTCCATTCAATAAAGTACAATGCTTGAGTTGTATTGAATTGAGCCAAAATGTTAATATTAAATTAATATTTGAGAGAAAATTTAGGAATTAAAAGTTATATTATCTTTTAATATTATCGACATTTTAAAATTCATTTGTTCTTATTTATTAGGGAAAAAATATATTAGATATATAAGACTTAGTGTCCAAGTCTTCTCTTCAATAAATGAATGTACATTATAAATGATGAATAATATATTATAAAACGTGTTCTTCCCACAAATGAATTTTTTGTTTTGATTAAAAATGTAATAATCAAAGGAAACGAGAGGCTTGGGTGGCCTAGCCATAACCCATAAACTGAATAAGTCGGAGATGGTTTGAAATATTCATTGGGTCAAATTGGAAGAGTTCTATGGATCTTCACAAATACATTGAGCCATATATTGTATTTACTTCTATAGTGCTTAGAGTACACGTCCAAAATATTTAGTTTTTATAGATATTTTCAAAATTCACTCTTATTTACTAATAGACGCTCGGTAGAATTAGCAAGGGTTACTATTGGCATTCCTTAAGGTGATAGTTCGAACCCTAGAGAGTAACAGACGCGATAATTAACGCGACCTCCAAGAGGTTTCCCCGCGGGGGGTTCGAATTAATCTGGAGCGGGCAATGAACCCAGGATATTCTAGGATATCGAATGGTTTATATCAAAAAAAAAAATTCATTCTCACTTTCTCCGTATGTATGTCATTTTTTTTGGCTAAGGTATATGTTATATATGTGGATGAAATTGAGAATTTTCTTTTCTTTTTAAAATTTAAGATGAGTATTTAAATAGTGAATACGCAATTGAACAAAAAGCATGGCTTAATCTCAGAAAGAAGGGCGCATATATATATATATATATATATATATGCAAATAATTCAACTGATACCTATTAATTTCCAATGTAGCAATGAGTTTATTGGCGTAGCATTCCTATAGGACTTTGAAAAGACATAGTAACAAGAAAGTAATGTACTGTAATGATCTAATTATAATTATATTGCAAGTTAAGCAAAAATGTAAAACTTTTTGATAGAATCACAAGTGAGATCCAACAATTAATAAGTAGTGTTTTTGTGGGGTAGAATCTGATCTCAATGCTGTTGCCATCCCACTTGCCAGTTCAATTTTTTCCTGTAGGACGTGTCACTTATCTGAAGTGTCCCTTTTAATCAAGTTTTGTGTAATATATATAAAAACATAATAGGACCTTAATTGGTCCCTCCAAATATATATTTGATCATTAATGCAACGTACTTGCCCTTTCACGCTCTGCTTCATCGATCCCACCGATTCAATTTTCTCGTTTGGTAACTCAGATGTCACCATCACCACTATGGGTCATATCTAAGTACACTTATTTTTTCGGTAAAATAATATCTAAGTATACATACTTTTAATTTGGAAATAAATTGACTATATGGATTTGAGTCCAATCTTAATTACTAAAAATAACTTCATTATCACCATTTTTTATGGTTAATTAAAGTGTATTTTTATTTTTAAAGTATTTTTCAACAAATGAGATGCATAGCATATGACGAACCTTGTGACACTCTAAACCTGTTACTTCTAATATCACATGTTTTAGTAAAAAAAAAAAAAGTAGGGGTATTGTTTGCCCCATATTATTGAATAAGATAGCAGTTGCTTTTCTATAAATACTTTATTAACCCAAAATTTCTCATATAGACATTCCATGTATTATGAGGCCAAATTTTCTCTTATGAATTAAAGATTAACTTCATGTGTCTGATCTATTAACTTGATAGTGAGGTGACATTGTAACATTTTGACACTTGAAGAACAACGTAACATATCCCAATTTGTACTTCAAGATGATTAATGCTACTCCCAAAAAAAAAAAAAGCTTCTTCAAGAGCAAAATTATCCTTCAACCCTTTGTTTTAATCTACTATCTATGAACTTATTGTCGTATCAAGTCATTTAATCTTAGGGGAAATAAAAAGACATTCATACTTGTTTAGTTTAAGAGTTCCAATTTAAGGGATCCAAAGCTAGACATTTAGCGAGAATGAATAAGAATCTGTCTTAAATATCTTTGTAATGACTAAACAAACTTTATCTGGAATGTACTAACCAAAAAACACACTGGAATAGGCTTTTATATCCTCTTATTATTAAATGGGGCTGTTACTAAAGCCATATTGAATGCTATACGCACTTCACACTAACATGTCCCGTAGCTTTCACTTGCAAAATGAATATGTAAGTTTTAAAGTTTTCAACTCTCTGTAATGTGGCCAAGATGATGATCGCCGACAGTACAGAAATTAGAGGCATCGTTTTCAAAGGTTGTCAAACTCACATGTTGTCCCTGTCAAGGTAATGCATGAGAAAGGGATTTATCTATACATGATTATTTAATTTTCTAGGAAGTTGGACTCTTCATTGTGATAGTTTTGCTTGCATTCACAGCCCTATGGGGACCAGTTTTCATTAAATTGTGAGCCACATGAAAGTGATTGCATTCTCGTATCAAACTTTGTTATTTGTTAGTTAGAGAAAAGATAGATACAACAAAATGATCTTTTATAACATATTGCAATTGAAGAGATATATTTATTAATACCTAATTAGTGGATTCAATATGCTATTCAAATTAAAGTGCAGGAATTAATGATCACGTTAGATTAGCTCAAATGATAAGGAAGGAATGTTGTGTAGATAATGATGAATGTTTAATAAAAAATACAAGAATTCATTCCCAATGATAATTGTTTGGATGATGATGAGTGATCTCATAACATATCACAAATGAGTCATATTCATATATTCTATTAATATAAAGAAAAGTATATATCTTTATAGGTATGTTTAATTTGAACCAGAAGCTGTGTGTTTCTGAGCAGTTGAGATCAAATTCACATATATTTCTTGATGTTCTCTAATTGGTCGTCCTTAGAAATTGTCATTTTTTTATGGTTATTCTCTACAATATTTTATATTTCACTCTTTTTTTTTTCCATCAATCAAAACCCTTTGCAGACCTTTTGAGAGCCATCAGCATTCATCTGCATACCGATTCTGATATTATCAATTAATGAAGTAATGGACATCCAAATAAAAAAAAATGCTAAAAAAACGATCAATAAGTATCCATGCATATTTGAAGCAATTTACATCACTCAATTCGAAAGTAAAATATCGCGATGTATCTGATATTTATCAGTCAAATATTAATGATTGGAGCTTCTTAAAAGCGACTCTTTGCCGATATATATATATGTCAGTCATAAATATCATCGATTACACAATAAAAATTGCGACGAAGATCATAATCTCAAATAACAGTGACCATCATAGTGTTTTGGAGTTTCTGGTTAAAAGGATCGTATCATTTAGATTTGCTTCTCAGTAATGTTCCCACTTTTTGACCCACCAATCCTTGATGTGAAAATTACAGTAGTACACAGAATATGATTAAGAAAGGAAAAGCCTGCAACGCTTTCACCATTCATTTGTTAGTCGCAGCTCGTAGTTTCATTTTCACATATATTTATGTAACAATATGCATATAACGTACGATTTCTCAAGTACAAGATATTAATGAAGTGGCCACGTAGGATTGCGGTAAGGGTACCCCCTATAACCTTCTTCTCCCATCTTCTCCATCTCTTGGACTTCACAAGTATTAATATTCCTCTGCAATACCGAAACTCATCAATGGCTTTCAACTCATTAATGTACGTATTGAAAATAAAAATGATCATTAAACCATTAAGACACTGGCTTCGAAGCTTAATGGTTAAAATTATAATCGAACTATGTTCAGACCAGTCTATTTCACTAAACTGGTTGAGGCACTAGTTCATTGTTTTACTGATTCAACCAATTATGATCACCAGTTTCAATACCATATCTATAATTATAATTGTATAAGCAATACTGGGTACCTGTAAGGGTTCGGTGACATTGAACTCAGAAGATTGGAAATCATAATGCATGGTTGCTGCTGTAAGCTTCATGGAAAGAAACTGAAATGAAGGGTAAATATTAGTTCAATATACTTGGGTAATGAAATTCTCCTTTACCTCAAGAGGCTATATTCTGATATATATTCTCTCACCTCAATCTGTTGTTGCAGAGATTGAACATAATCTATGATCACATCTAACATGACTGCCATACCCATTGTCTGCAAGTTCTCATAAAAGGCATGATCGAGTTATCTTTCTCGCAAAACTGAACTAAGACGTGTGTGTGTGTGTGTGTGTGTGTGTGTATCAGAAAGGATATGATGGTTAGAAAATCTGATATATCTGATACTATATGTAAACCTTGTAGCACCCTGGGACTAATTCTTGCAAGCATCTTAACTTTTCATTGATTCTCTCTCTTCTCACCTAGAAAGAGCAAAACACTTATCATTTTCTGGGAATACTATATAGACTCATGATTTCCATAGGATTGCATGAGAGATATATAGGATTTGTTTCATTTTATATTTTGAAGAAGTTTTACCCTTTCTGCTAAACTGTGGCTATCAGTTGCTTGGCCTCTTTTCGCTCTCACATGGATGACGTCTTTTTCTTTCTCTTCATCATCAACCTCACGCCTGTTACTGTTTCTCTTCCTCTTGCTGATAACCAGGTTCTGCAGAAATGGGAACAAATAAAGATGAGAAAGAAACAGCACATAAATTAAAGTAGATGATATGATACACACACACACACACACACACACTGTTCTTAACCTTGTTCTTTTCAGCAGCAAGAGGAAGAGAAGGAACCAGTAAGGTTTCTGATATAGGCAACGTTTCTGCATCTTGAAGAACATAATTAGGAGAGATTGATGAGTGAAGAGCCTGTGGATTAATATTGGTGTGAACGGGAGGGATATTAAGTTGTTGATCCGGGAATGAATCGTTGAACAAAGCCATGAATTCTTGAATATTATTGGATGAGGAATTTTTCTGCATCTTGCTCATGAGCTTTGATTTCTTCTACTATATATCTCCTCAAAGCACATCTAACTTGGTTGGATAAGGAGATAAAGGTTGGTCTTGAATCTTGATGTTGATAGTAAATAAAATGACTTTTTTCTTTTCATTCACCTTTTTCATATAAATCATCAGTTTTAGCTTTTTTTTCTTTTAAAAAATATAAAACCATGTGCGGCTGGAGGTCCCGGCCCGGATTTGAAATAAATCACATTGATTAAAATTTTTTAATAATTCAATTTTCTATAAATTTCATATAAAAAATATTACCTTGATGTCAGTAAGATAATCTCAGCCCATCTTAGTCACAAAAATACTTATTATAATACTCTTATATTAAAAAATATAAGGTATTTTGAGTTTTTTAAAGTACAATTAATAAGATTTTTTCAAAAATATCTTTAATTAAACAGTGTAATTAATATATTTTTTTAATTCTGACATCATATTAAATAAAAATAAATATAAAAAGAATGTGTAATTTTCAAAATAATTAAATAACTTATCGAGAGTGTAGTTCAATTACAATTCCTAATAACATTGAATGGAGAAGTACTTAAAAAAATAAAATAACAATAGATTAAATTTATAGAAGATCAAAATAAGTCTCATATAATTGCATTCTTTTATGTGTCACATTCTATTAATTTTACTAAAAAAATTTTTCTAAAAAAACTTATATACTTAGCTTTATATATTTAATGTACTTATTTTCAATTAAATCAAAACATATAAATCTTATATAAATTATTTATTTTTATTATTAATTTTATTAACATATTATGACTTGTCATAATTTAATTAAATATAGGTATATTATAGTATATATAAGGTTAAGTACATGAGTTTTACCCATTTTCTTAATTTGTAATATATAACTACATAAACAAAGACATTTAATTTAATTTTGATTCATAATATTACTGGTATACTCTTCTAATTTATTTATAAAGCATTTCTAACATATTTCACCAGTATTAAAAAAACATTAAAATTTATTAATTCTATCTTAAAATTTAATAAGTTTTTAACTTTACCTCTATTAAATATACGTATTTCAATAACAATTTTCTCTCTCTAATATTTAATAAAAGGTAAAAGAAAAAATTTATAATAAAAATTTAATGATGTAATTTATAAATAAAATTAAAAAAAATTTCTACCCTAAATAGGAATAAGGGAGTAAAATATCAAGATGTATTGATTTATATATCATTTCAAGTGGACCTACAAGAGCATGATTCAAGATACATTCATATATAGCTCTCGCCATTGAAATGACGCTTCTAATTATAAAGAGGTTACTGTCAGCCATGTCGTTGTTTTGACAATTCCATGATTTGCTTTTCAAGAAACAGCTTAAAATTCATGTCATTATATATCTAGATATTTAATAACTTGTGATTCCTTTTTTTTTTTAACGAAAATAACTTGATTCCTATTAATGTTTTATTTTATTTAATTAGAAACAGGAGTTGATTACCAACATAGCTGAATTCTTTAGGATTTTTTTTCTGTGGCATATAAATGTTTTAGATCCTAAATAAATATGATATTTATTTTTATTTTTATATTGAAATATGTTAATTCAGCTATAGGATCCTAAATGAACTCTATAATTAGAGTCACCCTAAGTAAGAAAATGGGAATCAATGTTGACACAGAATTTTCTGTTTATGGAAACCTAGTTTTCCTAATTTTCTGGTTCTCCATCCCTTAGGAGAATAATTGAATAAATGAGCAAAACCCCATAAAAAGATTGCACACTGAAAATGGTAAATATGCATGTTTATCATCCTTCAAGCAATCATTTTTCTTTTTAAAAAAATCATTACTCCCTCCATCTCAAATTATAAAACACTTTTGAAAGATATTTTTATTCTAAAATATAAAACACTTTAAAAAGATTAAGGTTTCATTAAATAAGTTTATTCCAACATTACTCATTCTCTCTATATTTAATACTAATTAAGTATAGATTTAAGGTTATTAAATGAAGAATATTTTTAAAAATTTATATTTTTGTTTTAAAAAATAAAGTTATTAAGTGTATTTAATAAGGTTTATTGGTATGTGAGATTTTATTTAAAAATATTTTATAATTTAAAATAGAGGGAGTATTATTTTAAGGATTAAAAGTATTGCATAATTTTACCGTACATGTTATTAGTTTTTTTTAAATGTAAAATTAAAAACTATAATGGAATTTCTTAAAATCTAGTGTCACTTTTTATTTTAAAAATTAAGAAATTTTGAATAACTTAATACTATGTTTGAATATATATATATGAATTTGAATTTGAGCCAAATCTTTTATTTGAAAACTTCAAAATTTAAGATTTACTTGTGTGTATGAATTTGAAATACATGAATTTTAAATTTAAAATTTGAAATTTAATATTTTAAATCAAAATTCAAATACAAATTCACTAATCCAAACACTAAAAATTCTTTATCTTCAAATTTTTCTTAAGATCTTAAATATAGTTTTTCATAACCTTAATCAAAATGGGCACAAGAAGCTTTTCCCCTTTTAATACTGACATCTCAATTGAGAAAAAGCCATTTGAGGTACACCAACTCATGAAATAGGATTTAGTTCATTGTCAGCAAATCTAAATTTGTTGGAACAACGATGCCTACAATATACTTTCCTTCCCAAATGTGATGCCATAATTTGGCTGATTAAATTGAATCCACACAATTCCCATCCTTATCTAAATTTCCAACTACTGAGTTCTTACAAACAACTTTTATCATTTGTGAAAGTATATTTACTTTACCAAAATACATTGGCTTAGGTGGAAGGGACTATAGTGCTTTTACAAAAGGTGTCAGGTTTGAGTTTGTGTGAATTAAAAAAATGTCTTTGAAAAAATTATCCCCAAGTGAACTTGACAATACTTGAATCTAACTTAATTATATTGCTTTTCCAAAAATATATTCATTATGTTTTTTTATTAGGCAAATTTATCTTTTATACACAAATCAAGAAAATTAGTTGATGCTTTTAAAATTATTTCTTCTTTCCACATTATCTTTCATTAAATACTCTTTTCTTTCTTAATTAGAAACAGCCTTTTTATTCTAACAAAAAAGACCCTATTTAGGGGCATTTTTTGGAAAAACACCAAAATCTTATTGAAGTTGGGAGGTGTAGATTTCTTATAAAAGAGATACTTGCAGTCGTTTTTTTAACTGCCCATAATATTTAAATGTTGAAATTTATGAAGGATTTTATTTCGGGAGAATGACATTAAAGTTCAGAATGGAATTATAACAATTAAGTCCCTAACAACCAATTTTGAAAAAATAATTTTAAATATTAATTAAGACAATTATAAATTTAAGAGTTTTAATTATAAATAAAATATTTAAATTCTAAATATACTTATTAGTTTACAATTGAAATTCTTACTTGTAGCTGTTTAAATCAATATTGAGAGCTTATCTTTTTTTAAAATTGTCAAAATTTTTTGTCAATCCTAACTATCATAAATTTTTAATTATGAGATTTTATTATCATTCTCTTTTTAATTTAATTTTTGAAGAGTGAATCCTCATCTTATCTAAGAGAGAAATAGAGATATATTAATGAACCCTATCTTTGTAGTTCACGTGGATGCCCAACCACATGTACAAGTACGTAGTACACACGCGCTTGAACTTTTTCGAAATAGAATGAGTGACAAAGTTGAATTACTTACAAGAAATAGCAAGGCTATTTATCAAACAAAAACAAAACGGGAGGGGCGCGGGGGGTAAGGGAGCCATTTTTACTGTTTATCCATGAATACGTTTCAAAATTTGTGAAAAAATACAATCATTAATCTTTATAATTTTATCATATTTTACTTTTAATCCTTACTCCCTCTAATCTTATTTATAGAGTAGAGAGATACAATTTTTTTATCCTATTTATAAGTTATATCATTAAATTTTTATTATAATTTCTTTTACCCTCCATTAATTATTGGTAAGAAAAAAAATGTTATTGAAATATGTATATTTAATAAAAAAAATTAAAAATTTATTAAATTTTAATACAGAGTTAATAAATTTTAAAATTTTCTTTAGTATGAATAAAATATATTAAAAGTAACTTATAAAATAGGACCAGAGGAGTATAACATATTTTCAATTTTCAATTCTCATAGTTATTGTAATTTAATATCATTAAGAACCTGAGAATCAAATGTCACTTAATCTTGCTAAAATCATAAGAATTGAAAGTAAAACCCTATAAAATTATAAAATCCATTGATTGTATTTTTCATGACTTGTATTAGTGAAAGATAATTAATTTCTTAACTTAATCATATTTTAAGCGTGACTATTACAATGGTCTCTCAATATCTATCCTTCAATCTTCTTGTCATTTTGAAGGACCAATAAAATGAATATAAATTATATATTTAAATAAAATAGAGATGAAATGACAGGCGACTCTAACTATATACTCCCTCAGTTAAAAAATGTAAGGCATTTTTTGAGAAATTAGATGTTAAAAAATGTAAGACATTTTTAATCTTTCGAGGTGTAATCATTACTTTTTTTTTTTCAAAACTGCTTCTATTAATAATAACTTTATATTTGTTGTAGAGTGTTTAATAAGGATAAACAAAAAAAGATAAGGTTAATTGGAAAGTAGGTAACTACTTTATTAAGGGATAAGATTTGATTAAAAGTGCCTTACATTTTTTTAACAAAGTGAGTATAACACAGAGCACTAACTTTCAGGCAAATGTAACGCACGACATCAATCTGGCAAAAAGAAAGCGAGATGCAGTTATGAAAAGTAATCAAGAATGAGCATCCATGTCCGGAGAAAACTGGCAGGAAAACTTGATAAAATCTCAAACCACGTACACCAAATCCATTTCCGACAGATTTACTTGTTCTTTTTCCTTAGAATAACCTGAGAGCAATACCATAGTAATAAGGCAACAGATGTCCCAGTTCAGGGCGACCTTTGTCTTGCTTCAGCTATATGGAACATAAGCTGCAAATATTTAGGTGAATTATTAATTCTAAGAAAAAAGAAAGGGAAAACATATCTGTCCAACTTATTTGGAGATGTGGACTACAAATCAAGTTTAATTCTGAATACACCGTACCTTCGTTCCCACGTAAAACGACAGAAGTAAGCCAACAAGAACTGGCAGTCCTGTGAGTTGGAATTCCCAATGAATTATATAGATCGCATTTAACAGCGTTAGAGTGCAAAGTTATAACAGCGGTAGGGTGCAAAGGTAAGGATACCGACGTAGTACCTTCTTTTTTAGTGAAAGAAGAAAGCAACCAGTTGACACCTCCAGGTCCAATAACAAAGCCAACCAGATTTGCCACCTGTCAAAGGGGAAAAAAACTTGTCTTATCCCGAAAGAAACTAAAAGAGAGATGTCAGCTTAAAGTTCTAGGCTTCTAGCATTTTCATCCAGCTTCCAAGCACACGGCATTCCTCCTAGAAGAGCAGAGATATAACGCACTTATGATACAAGTCAATAAAGATCTTACGTAAGATGTTACACAATATTGTTAAAAGACTGTTATTTTAAAGATGATATGCAGCTGGGATCCCCTGGTTCTCGATCATTTTGAATATCAATGATGGCAAACGATGGTTATGGTCCTAGTAGTTCACAACTACTATGCCTCTATGCCTGCTTTACACAGGCACATCTTGAGTTAGTAGGGCCCTTGCAGTTCACAACTAATTTTGATTTGATAAAAATATCAGTGAAAAAAACATAATCACAATACACAACAAAGCAATATTATTGCATCTCTTTTCATAACATTTAAATTACTTCTGATGGCACCTTTTTATACGTTATTTTAGAAAAGACATCACTGGCACACCACAAGATGCAAAATAGTTCATAAAGATGGTACATAACATAATGAAGAAAAATAATATCCATATATGCTATAGCTTCCAAGTTCAATAAAGGGCAAACCATGAGACAAGTAATTGTGACAGCACCAGCGAAAGCACTGAGTTCACGAACTAAATATTCCCCAAAACCACTTTCAGCCTGAAAATCATAACCATAATCACCAAAAGTTAGAAAGCAAGAATTATGACTTTGAACTAATAATTATGAAAAAAAATGGACATTTCTGATAATCTTATGTGCTTACATATTCAGGGGGGGGGGGAGCCAGTGGGAGGGAGGCTTCAATGACAATATTATAATTTACACTTCTCATTCTTCAGAGTTGTTTCAGGGATTTTATTTCCATCTGTAGCCAGGTTAAATTCCGGGTTTATTTCCAGATTTTTAGCTTCTTTGTTAGGTAGTATTGTTTCATATAATATGCACCCACTCACATAGAATCAGACCAGAGAATAACATTTCCTCTGTTCTGCAAGAAACATTATAATAACTCAATCGATTGAAGACAGAAAGGCTCGGAAAGATATTGCATGACCTGAAATGCCTTCGCTGCTGACTTCAGTACCAACTCAGGGATAAAGAATAAGCATGTCAACCAAGCCCATGAAAGAAGCTTCCTAAGGATAATGGGAGTTATCAAACATAAGCTATAAAGTCAAACAATATGCCCTTTCTATGTAATGGATACAACTGACCAACAAGAGGAGAGAGTACCACTCCAAATCATGCCAAATAGCAACAAATGTGAATATGACCCATACATTGAGTAGCTTCTTTTGAGACCCCCCAAGAGGAATGTACATGTACCTGCACTTCTAGTCAGTTCAAGCCATCATGAGGGAGAAGAAGCAAAAAATCAAAGCAAAGAAGTCAGTTGCACCTCACAAGCCACTTGTTAAAGGAAGCATGCCAATTTTTCCAAAAGCCCTCCAAACTGTGGCAATTATTGATACACTTTGGCATATTCTCTGGAATCTCAATGCCATTTATCTACAAGACATGGTTCCAAGGGTATGATCTATATAAAAGTATAGCAGGTTTTCAAGACAGATGCTTAAAGGTTACAACAGGTAACATACCAGTGACCAGAATCGGAAATAGCGCCAGATCAGTAAGAATTTTAACCACATGAAGTTTAAGACCTGACACAAATTAATGATAAAGCGTTATGCTGATTCAATGATAAAAGGATCACACAGGAAACAAGGACATTTAATGCTCTAACAGAGCTAGTTGGCACAAGAGACATGAGGAACAAATCAGCAAGGCCTTAAATCGTACATGTTCTCATATAATAATCCAAAAGAATAGCCTCTTACCCCATATCCAATGATGAATACATCTATAGGAGACAATTGCTTCCACAAACCACTAATCCATTAAAAGGACAAAAAAGAAAAAAGAAAGCAATTCAGCGACCCAATAAGCAACACTAAATATGACCCACTTTTTTGCTGAGTTTAAAGGAACTGACCTGATTGCAAAGGCATTATAATAAAATAAATGTGTCATTAACTCCATAAGAAGAAGACTCAATGCCCAACGGAAACCATAGCATATCACATTTTTGTTTAAATTACTATTCTGGGGAATATCCAGCTGCAAGAACATCAGAACAAGTATCATTGACAAAACATATATTCAAACAACCATAAAACATTAGGAACACATCAAGCTATGACTCAACAATTAGATTGCAGTTTTAAAAACGTTTATACTTAACTTCTACTGCTCAATTTTTAAATAACCAAACAACCAGAACAAGGTTATACTAAAACGTGGCTTAGTCACAAACCTGTGAGGCAAAAGCATTGAAGCTAACTATTGGACCAGCAATGTAAAGTGGTGCATATAGCAGATAACAAAGGTAAGTGGTATATCTGAACTTGTCACTTTGCAAACTTCTCTCCTGGCATTGTAACCAAAGTATTGAACAAAGAAGGCATAATTATATAAAAGCCTAAATAAAAGCATAAAGCGGAATTCAGCAACTATTATAAAAATCACTTATGTCTTTATCAATAGCAAGCTGATCTAACCTGCAAAATTTGGTAGCAAGGTTTTCCTGATTTACAAATTTGGCAACGTTGATAATGCTTCTGTAATCCACAGACAAAAACTTCAGCAAAACCATTTTTTGAGAATCACAATGTTCACTGAATCAGACAAGACGTGCATTATACAATTTTCACTGAATAGTTATAATGACAAATGTTTTGCTCAAGCAATGCAATGCAGAGTAAAACAAGCCACGGCCACATTACTGAGCATAATAGAAGAGATCATTAATTGAAGCATGCCAGAATAGATTCATCTTTGGTTAATTAGATTATAGAAGTCCCACACAGGTCATATATCAAGTTATACAACTTTTTCTCTTCTACAAAATACAGGCAATACAAGCCTACGTTAACATCAAGGCTTTACAAAGCATTCTCTTTCCCTTTATTCTTAATTTGGTATCAAAGCTTTGGGGAGGGGGGGTAGAATATGCCTAGAGAATTTTCAAGGCCAGAAATTTGCTCTAGGCCCCCCTCACCCCAACAGATACCCAATCACCTTCTAAGGCAGCCCTCCGGCCAGCTTCTTCAGTGGCTCTCCATTCACCTTCTTTGGTCTTCTTCCAGCCACCTTCTTAAGCCATCTCTTTTTTATGCTTTTCTAAATGTGCTTTTCTCACGTTATTTTCCTTCAATTGCATGTCACTCCAACCGCTCTTCCCACTGTGTCTTTATTCTACAGGTCATTTTCTCCAGTTCTATGCCATTCTATCCACTCTACCCACAGTAGAGCCTTCCTCTAGTTGCATTTCAGTTTAACCATTTTCTGCTATGCATGTTACCACTGTGTTCACTGTCTTACAGCAGAAGCTCTGTTTTTCAACCTCATAGGTGGTGTTCCCTTGGGGCACATGATTTCCCTTTTCATGCTCCAGCCATGCTCATATCTATTTTCCTTACTCCAGGTCATCTCTTGGCTGATGACATTCTTAGGTGATGAATCAAGTATTCTATTTGCTGGTCTTTGCTACAAAGATATTTTTTTGCTTATGCATGGATATCTTTCTATTGGAAGTAATTTTATTTGAGGCATTGTCAAAAACTATATGCAGGCATCTCACCTAACAGGAATTCACACTAATTTGGCACGTTGTGAGTGGCTAGTCCATTTATCTAGGCCCAACCCCCATTGGTTTCTTTGAAGATATTTTACGTGAGCTTCCTGTTTCCCTCTACAGTTAGGTTTTATTAAAGGTCTTTCATCTCAAGTATTACATAGCTAATAACAAGCTTACTGCATTTGATTTATCCATCCATCATAGAGGGGGACAGGGACCAGAATAGAGTTTGTTTGTTATTCTTCATTTAATAGACAACTGAAGTTCCCATATTGGTTGTGTCTCAAACTAAAAAACCCTTATCCAATATAAACATATATGTAACACATGCCTCCCAGAATATCAAGACTTTCCAAGCATCCTCTCTGTTTTCACTCTTTACAGGGAATGTAATACAGTGTTCTCTCAATAATAAGAAAATATATAGTATAAGCTACTAAAGACAATGCATGCCCACAAGATAACACCAAAAGTTACTCTATACTGAAAAATTTACAATAGTACTATAGTAGCCACCCTTGGCATTACTAAATGGATCACAACAACTTCAGAGGTTTACAGATACGATTGAAGAAATAATATATATATATATATTAACATATCCAACCAAATTACTTTGAAGAAACGAAAAAGTAACATATTGAGAAAGAATATAATACCTCCTGATCAATACGAGACTCTTGATTCAACCAATGATAATCCAATCCAAAGCTTATCATACGCAGAACAACTGCCATAAATAATTAAACTCAGCACTTAAATGATATATATCAAATAGATTTTTCTTCTTGATGTAGTATGCATGTAAATTAGAATGAAAAAATATGCATAGTTAATTTTAAAATGTTATTAGCACAGGTTTTCTTGACATGCACAAATGGGATGCGTGCCATCTGATGCTTGTTAGGCTTCTTGTCTGATTGTATGGAGGCTTATGATCCAAGAGGAATGCAATTAGCTTTTTTGGGTTTTGAGCTTTATTTTTACCTAAAAAATTTATGTTAGCCTACAAGTGATTATCAAATAATGTAACTTGACCCTGGTTTTAAAGTTTAAAGAGATCTGATCTGACTTTGACTTAAAAACATTCAGGTGTATGCGGATAACACAGTAAATTCTATTTCTCATGACGTGACAGAATAACATGAAAAGCCATGATAAATTAATAACTACACATCGATAGAAAGTTCTCAGCTAAAGATACCATATGAACATAGAGAAATAAAGAAGACAACAAATACCAAAGTTGAAGCAAATGTGCCACCTAAAAGTGCCTCGGTAGTTGTCCAAAAATGCCAATTGTTTCCTAAGGCATAAATGGATCATTTTAGGAAGGAATAGCTGATAAACTGCAAACAACAGATCAACATAATATATCTTACTCTCTCACCCAAATGTAGAGAATGGATATCCTTCATAAACGCGATTGCAGAGAAGAAAAAATAAGTTATAACTCCAAACTATGAGTGTAAAATACTTCTTTCGTGCAAATATCTGCAGTGATATAAATTTAGTAGATTTAAACACAGAAGAATTACTAAATATGGTAAGCAAATATCACAATTTAATGCTCAGCTGAAAAGAAATCCACGTTATTCATTTGAGAACACCAGGAAAGAAGTTAAGCTTTTCTTCAAGAAGCACTAACAAACTATTAGACACCTAAAATTATATTTACCTGTACAGTAAGAAGTAGGATTGCACAAGGAAACTTATACATTTAAATCCAAACAACAAATGAAGGCCACTAATACCTCAAAATATCCCACAGATGTTTCTTTAAGGTTTCTAAATACGGCAAGCTACAAAAGATAAAGCAACCTAAGGAGAAAAACTTTTCAGTCGCCAAAACAAAACTTCATATGATATATTACTATGACGAAGTGCAAATTAAAAAAGAATAATAATACATGTTTCTTGTAATACTACAGTAATATTTATTCATTCATCCTTTACACGCACCTTTACCAGAAGAAAATTAACTGTGGCTATTGATAGGACAAAAATGACACTGCAGAGGAAAACAGACAAAATGTTAGAGTGATGAAGGTAAATAGTGTCAATAGCAAGAGAAAGTATAATAAATTCATGATAATTTAAGTAAACCCTACCATGCTCCATGCAGATATGATAGGTACATCAAAGAAAACAAAAGCCAGGCAGTGGACATTCCCCTCAGTTTCAAACGAAAGAACGATCTCATCAATGTTGCCAGCAGAGTGAAAAGTCCAAAGACAATAGTAAGAACAGGTATATTTCCTCGAAAGTTCCTCCACTGGGCATCTGAGACATCCTTCATACAGAAAATAACAAGTAGGGTAATTGATGAGCCAAAAAACAAATGCCGTAAAGCAAGATTTTCTGCAACCAACATTCATGTCAGACATACAAAACCATGAACTATACATACAAGCATTAACTACAAACTTGGAAAAACAAGAACAGAACTTGTCAAGCATGACCCGTTAAATGCCTTTCATAGATATCCAGCTCTCATCCATTGTCATATCAAGAACCCAAAGTCATTCTAACTTGCTGAAAAGTCAGTATCACCACATCTAAATGTAAATTGTAGATGAACCTTTTTTTTAAAACCTGAAATATGATAAAAAAGCCTTAGCTTCCTGATTTTTACTGGCGAGAGAGAGGGGGGGGATCAAGCGTTTAAGCATGTCACAATTGTTTTCTAGGCTAGTATTAAATAATACCCACTCACTAATCCCCAAGGGAAATAAAATAACACTAGTTTACCAATTATGTCCACTGAGACAAGGATAAGGTAAAATATCAGAATCAGTATAACAGTAGAGAAGTGTAAAGACTGAAATAACGCAAGTAAGGCAGCATGATTTACCCACCTTCTCGTACAAAAATTGATCGAATCCTTTAAGTAGTAGATCTTATGCTTTCACTTATTACATATATGCTATACGATTCTATACAGAAAACAACTGAGCTATGCCAATCAACCAGGGAACCAAGAACAGCAATGGTTTCAAAATATAACTATGAACGACTTTGAGAGAGAACGAGCTGCAGACATCATACATTGAGGGGATGAGGTGTAAGCCATCCTGGATGTAAACCGTAGAGCAGTTTGTAGTAATCTATGAAAATCAAAAACCACAGCACAATGCGCACAATTAAGCAGAAGGCAAAAGAAAGAAGGAAAGGGGGGAATAGAGAATAAACTAACTCATATATGATCGAGGAAATACCATTAGAAAGTTGAAGAGACCGGCGGATGATGATGACATAGAAAACAAATGCATAAGTTATAAGAAGGAACATCTCCCTTTGCTTCCATCGTTCACTCAGACTACGATTATTGCCTTTACCATCATTCAATTTTTCCTTGTTCATTGCTGATGTACCCATACCCATTCGCTCCAAGTCTCTGATAACAGTGTCATATAATTAACACTTCAACACCACCACTTTCATGCATCCATTGAAAGGCGTTCCAAATTTCATTTTAATTAAGCAACGAGTCTGGAATATTACTTCTAAGTTTGAATCCGGAGGGCCTGCAACGGCACATAAATTGAAGTGACCAAATAAAACAACGAAATTAGTTAATTCTACGAAATAAGTAAATTTTGCATCTCGAATAAACAAAATCTACCGGAAGTAGGTAAGTGCACAAGTACTCCATCATCTCACCAAAGCATTAAACGTGCACATGCACAAAATCAAAATATATCCAAGGAAAAAAAAAAACTGAGACAAAGAGAGCATGAACATGAGGTCGCCGGAGTTCACCTGAAACTGCTGATACCAATTCCTTTAAACGCACCGTTTCTGTTTTTATTTTTATAATTTTATAGTCTCGGGTTATAGCCCAATGACTGCTCGACTTCTATTTTCACTGGGCTTTTTGTTTTCTTGTACTTTATAGCGGGCTGCGTTTTTAAGTTGTACCTTCATGTAAAACATACATATATATATATATATATATATATCCCGCCCAAAATATATATATATATATTTATAAAGTATATTTTAAAATATTTATTTAATCTCATTTATAAGTTATGGTGTAATTTTTTAGATAATATTTAAAAAATACTTTTAAAATTACCTTTCAGAAGATATAAAAATTAACATGGTATTATATTTTGAATTTATTATATAAGAACATATTTAAAATTTTATGCACTTTTATTTCTTATATTTTTTTTATACTGGTATTGATAAAATTGATAGAGATGACTTATAAAAAGGATTGAATGAGTATATTTTTGCCTTCTGCAACAAGAATTTAAGTTGGAGTTTGAAATTTGAAAGGAAAGAAAAGGAACACTGTGTACTTATTTCAACTTAGCTTGGGAATATTTATATTCCAGAAATGGTGTTTGGACTCATCGATTTCACTAATCCTAGAATATTAAGGTTTTTATTTTGATGATGTTAAAAAAAAAAAAAATCTTCGAGATGATCACTTGTTCCATCTCCAGAATTGCATTCTTATTATTACAGGTATCTTGATTTTTTTACTACATTTCTTATTTTCATTCAGACCACAAAAATTGCAACTGCAGTTTAAGTAATACCTTTCCATTGCAAGTTATCATAAAGTTTTTTATTGCCGGCCAGTGTTATTGTTGTTCACCTGTGATATTAAGTCCACTCTTAATGGAAGTTAATTTTCAACTTATAAAAATAAAATTTAAAATAACTTCAACTCAATTCATTTTAATTATATTTTTATTTATATATTTATATATCACATGATACATATTTATATAAATGTGTGTGTATACTCTCTCCGATCCTATTTATAAGATAAAGAAAAAAAATTTAATCTTATTTATAAGTTATCATTAAATTTTTATTATAAATTTTTTCTTTTACTCTTCATTAAATATTGTTGATAGAAAATAAGAAAATATCAATCAAGAACGTCTGTATAAAATTTATATTAGGTAAGGATCAAATGTTATCAAAACCCGAATAGATATTAATCAATTTAGGTTTGTCTTTTGTCAACAAGTGTCCATTTAAATTTTAATAACAACTAATTCTAAATTAATAAAAGTTCATTGAGACTTATTTTTCATTTAAATTTTAATAACAACTTCACATTAATTAATAGAAATTTCATATAAAGATCCTTGATTATTATTTTTCCTAAAAAATATATTGTTAAACTAACGAGCATGTAGCTCAACTAATAAGGAGCTATGCTAACTTAACAAGTAATTTTGAATTTGTGTTTTGGATGTGCAATCATGTTAAATACTCATTAGGAGAGCTTTGCTACTAATATAATTAATCCTACATGGCTCGACTCATGAATAATGGGTAAATGTATTAAAAAAATATATTACTAAATTATATATAGTCAATCAAGATAAAATTAAAAATTTATTAAATTTTTGGATATATTTAATTGATTTTAATTTTTTTTAATTTTAATAAAATATATTAAAAATGGCTTATAAATAAAATTATATACATATACATATACATATACATATATATATATATATATATATAAACAAGCAGAGCATAATGATATAAAGAGATAGGTTCAATTGGCCTATATAATAAACATTAAGTAAACAAGTCTAATCTATTTACTTAAACGATTTTGATCGTGAAATTAAATCTAAGTTTTCTGTTTAAATAAGTCAGGCTAAGACAAGCCTTAGTCAGCTCAAGTAATGGGCGTCGTGGCCTATTTCTAGCCCCAATAATAGAAAATTAGGAACTAATTCAAATGAGTAGGATCGAGTAGACAATCGATAAAGTCTAAAAGTTGATGGTGGTTACATGTCATATTGTCATCCACGCCAAGGAAAACACGGTGAAGAAAGTTGAAGTGCTTCCGACTCTTATATTTGATGATTGACAATTTCTCTCCAATTCCATGAATGACAGCTTGCGGCTTCCTTCAGCCGCTGGCTAGTTTCAACATGTCAATGTTTCTTATGTGTACTTTCTTTCTTTTTTTTTTTTTTTTTTGCCGACAGTATCTTATATGCCATTCACTCTATTCTTAAAAGAAAAAAACTTATAGAATGCTTTTATCTTGGCGCTTTTGTGTAAAAACATTCTTAAATATAAAGGTAGAATCTTAACCCAAAAAACAAAAATTAAAGATAAAACCCATCGACACCTATATGCTTTGTGTAGATGGGGAAAAAAACATGAGAGGAAGGAGGGAAAAAAATAATTTTCTCTTTATTTGGATGAAGAAAGAAAAATAAAAGAAAAAATGAGTGTGAAATTCACTACATATTCCTCTAAATTTTTCTCTCTTTAGAGAGATTTCGGGAGTAAGTTTTTTATTCCACCATCTATTATGAACAAATTGACCTTATAAACTTGATTATATCTCAAGATTTCATTTTGGTTAGCTTAAACCTGATCTTCAAAGTTAAAAGGTTGGCCCTCAAGACTTTAGCCCTATATCTTTTTCATGTTTTTATTTAAAAATTAAAAAAGCATGTTTAAAATTAAAAAAAGTTATTACACATAACATTAAGTCTAGAAAAATAAATTTCAATTAATAGACACAACAACAAATTTAAATCTAATAAAAACAATAATATCACGAAATCAGCACCGATAATAATAAGACTTTGCTTGTATCTTCAACTAAATTTTAAATATTTTCATTGTCATTAATATCAATATAATTTTATCATTCTCCTTCTGAAACCTCATCAACGGCAAATATATTAAGTTTTTTTATATATTCCTTCTTCATCCTCATGAAATGAGATTAGAGTTTTCAGAATTATTATATTATTTAATTTTTTTATAATAAAATTTTAAAAAAATTATAAAATGACTTAAAAGGGTCACTCCTTTTATTTTATCACTTAAAAAGGCCAACTTTTTAAGTATGAATTATCATTTTATACTTTAAAGTAGCAGACTAGCCTTATTCTTTTTCAAGCTTAGTCGATCCTAATCGATGACTCTAATCCTCCTCTCTCTCTTATTTGGACAAATGCAAAACTTGTTATTATATTTAATTTTAAAATAGTGTCCACTATTAAATTTTTTTTAATTTAAGAACAACATATTTTAACTAAATTATTTGATTTAAAATTATAATAATATGAAAATATATTTTTTAACAACTAACTTAATTTTGAATTAATTTAATGTTCGAGAAGAAATTAATTTGATAATTTTAATTTTAATATAATTTCTTATTTCAATTTGTTTTTATAAAAGTAATTACATAAGACATGATATATTTTAAATATGAGAAATATTATAGTTATTATAGTATTTATTTTTTTTCTATTTTTCTTTATCCATCAAGAGTGATAATATTTTCTATAGCTAATGTCTTCAATACATTTGTCTATATATATAGAGCAGTGTCATCAGACATGTTTTCTTAGTTCTCTTGAGTCACCTAGATAATAATATTAAAAAAAATGGAGTCTAATTAATCCACGTTTGATGAATTATTAGAAAGTGATTTGGTTTTGGCACCAAAATTGGCAAGTGAAAAAGGCGCCTCCCCAGTCACCACGCGTGTGATTGGACGTTCAACCTTTTATAGCAAACTTCTTAACTTCTTCATGTGAAGAAGTGACAGTCTCATCACGAGCCTCACACCATTATTCTCTATTCTCCCCCTCAGCTTTTCTTTGACATGATGTAGAGCCACTTGTCAAATTATTATTTCTTAACAACAAATAACTCCTCATGTTATATGTATGAAATCAAGTCTACATCATATGATATTATTTTGAGATATCTGTACCTGTCAAGTGATTTAAATTTACTCATTTAATTAAGTACCTCACATAGTATGATAGTAATCATTTAATTTAATTAAATAGTTATCATATATTATTAAAAAAAGTATTAAATTTTAAATTTTTAGAGGGACAATGCACATAAACATTGTTCTGATCATGAAAATTATTTTAAATATTTGGAGGGAAATGTAGCTTGATAATATTTAAATATTGATGAAATTTAATAGTTGTAATTGAGATATTTATTGAGTAAATAAAATTAGTAAACTAACCAAATTCAAATCTTATTTTGACAGTCATCTAATATTTTACTATTATTGCTGAGCTCTGTAATTAAATAAAGGTATGGCATATTTATTTATTTTTTTCATTCATGAGGTTGGATTTTGAGATATATGTTAATCAAGTGTGTTGACATCTGATAATTTTTTTGTTGCTCAGAGGCATTCTTCTATTGAAAATAATTATATTTGAGGTACAGTCAAATGCTAAATGTGAGCACCTTTCTCATGGATGATTTGAAAAAAAAAAATTCAAATAGAATATGAGGTTTATTTATTAAATATTAATAAATTATAATGATTTATAAACTTATTAATCAAGTTGTTATTAGAATTTTATTTTTTATGTTTTTTTTAATTTTGTTTGCAATAATTTTTTTTAGGCTAAGCTTATAAAGGACCTAATCACTAAATTAATCAAGGAAAAGGACCACAGTTGCAAAATAAGGAAGAAAAAGCACAAAATTACTCCCTCCATTTAAAAATATAAGACATTTTTTGACGTGTTAGATATTAAAAAATATAAGGTATTTTTAATCTTTCGAGGTGTAATTATTATCTTTTTTTAAAAAAATACCCCTATTAATAATGACTTTTTATTTATTATAGGTTATTTTATAGGGATAAATATGAAAAATAGAGTTAGTTGAAAAGTAGGTAATTACCTTATTAGGGGTGAGATTCGGTTAAAAATATCTTATATTTTTTAATAGATGAAGTATACATTAGAAAAGAATTGCAAATTGTAGAAGAAAATTTGCAAATTCTGAATCGATCCTTTTCCCCAATTATTTTAATGATAAGGTTCTTTTCCCTAATTGTTTCCTTATTTTAATTATTTTAATTAACAGAGTCCAATTTAATTAACCTCAATGTGTAAAAATATTGAGTTTTCTCATCAAGCTTCTTTTGCCGCTAGCCTAAAGCATACTCCCTTCGTTCAAAAATACAAGACATTTTTTAAAAAGTTAAATATTAAAAAGTGTAAGGTATTTTTAGTCTTTCGAGATGTGATCATTGCCTTTTTCTAAAAATATTCCTATTAATAATAATTTTATATTTATTGTAGGATATTTAATAGGGATCACTATAAAAGAATAAGGTTCACTTAAAAGTAAGTGATAATTTTATTAGAAATAAAATTCGATTAAAAATGTTTTATATTTTTAAATGGAGGGAGTATATACCTTCTATCTCCATACTCAGCTAAATTAAATCAATACTTTTCAATTAAATATTTTGCTCAGCCAAAAGTAAGTTTCTGATGTGGGACATCAATCTAGCATTAAAACAGTACTTCATTCATTGATTTAGTTTTGATTAAATTCTCTGCGTTGAATCATCGCCATGAGTCTAATTAAATAATTAATATTATCATGATGATTCTTCTTATATGACTTTTCTCTCGTTTCTCTCAACCAAAAAAAAAAAATACAAAACAAAAATAGTTACAATGAGTAAGTATGCTAAATATATCTGAAGAGGTACCTACTTTTCTAGAGCATTTGATTTGATTACAATTTTGTTTGTTCCAAGAGTTGACGTGTTTGGTAGCCGTGAATGGAGAAAGATGTGATCAATGGGCCAAGAACACGAAATGTCTTCATGGAATAATCAATGAGCTTTTTAGACACCATGTGCAAGGAACTTAGAATCACAAGGCAGAGTTTCTAGTTTTTAACAAAATTAATTAAATAAAGTAACACTGTATACCTTTAAATTATAGCTAAGAATTTTGTTGTTATATGTAAGTTGTAATCTGTAAATACATTTGTAAATGAGAACTATGAGACAAGCATCAATATGGTGAGTTCTCAACCTTCAAATGATTTATCTAAATTATACTCCCTTCATTTAAAAATATAAGACATTTTTTAAAAGGTTAGATGTTAAAAAATATAAAATATTTTTAGTCTTTTAAGGTATAATTATTATATTTTTTTAAAAAATATCCTTATTGATAATAACTTTATATTTATTATAAGATGTTTAATAGACATAATTATGAAAAAATATGATTAGTTTAAAAATAAATAACTACTTTTATTGAAGTTGATATTCGGTTAAAAATGCCTTATATTTTTAAATAAAGAGACTATTAAATTATCTATATGTGATTATATTTGAATTGATATGAAAAGTTTCACATGAGTTGAAATTGTGTTTAAGAAGTAATTTATAATAAAAAAGACTTATAAACTTGAGTTTCTTAAGGTTTTGAATTAAGAGTTGTTTTTTCAATCATTTTTTACCCATTCATTTTCTCCATCGGTTCGGTTCACCATAAGAAATAATAATTACAATGATCTGATGATGATCTCATCCTGTAATGCTCGGACAAGGTTAACATATTTCATACCAGCAACTTGGTCAATTAGCAAAGCTCAACTCGATTAGTAAATGTATATATAGTAAAAAAATAAAATAATTATAGTGGTAATTAATCTGTTAACCAAATTAGTTGTAGCCTATTTGAGACTTCTCAGTTATTACTTAATATGGTCTCAATCCTATCTATACATTCATTGAGACATTACTTTATCAGCGATCCAGCCTCTTGCATTCATCATTTAACAACAACAACAACAACAATAAGGTTAAAATATACAAAATTCTCTTGAACTTTAAGATTGTTGTGAAAAACTCTCCCTCACTTTCAAAAGTTTAAAATTAACATTTCTAACCTTTTAATTTTTTACCACAGACTCCCCTATTAATAGATTTTAGTTATTTTATTAACAGAAATTGCCATGTCATATTAAAAAAAAAAAGTGGTAGCTTATGTAGCATCTAATGTAAGAGAGTTTTATTCAATTGTCTCAAAATTTAAGAAAGTTTTTTATATTTTAATCTAATAAGAATCCCCTTTGGTTGAAGATTGTTATATTTACTTGCAGAGCATCATATCCTGTTCCTACAATTCTCGTTTTGAACAGTAGATTGAAATTGTTAGTTGATCTCATGTCACGCGTAAAACCTTTCCACTAATTAGACCAAGAAAATTTTGACACCTTCATGACCTAAACACAATTCCTTGTAAACCGGCGACTCTAAATTCTTCATTCTTTAGCATTGGTCAAGAATTATTTGCCATACAAATAATTTTGTTACAGTATATATAAAATCAATGGGACCCAATTCTCAAGTGTTTAATCAAATTTAGGCACTTCTTGGAGTTTACAGGTAGCATATTTTACAGTAAACTACCACCAAACTCATCACTCCACAAAATTCCGTGGGCTTTGTATATGAAGCCCTTCACTGGACAGCCTCAATTCCAATACCTCTTTCTTATGTAAACTCTTTATACCACACCTTCTCTTTCATCTCTCTGATTTCTCTTCAATCAACAGCCATGTCTGCTGCTACAGAACCAGAGGTAGGGTCTAATAATGAAGAAGAAGCTGAGCTCAGGAGAGGCCCTTGGACTCTGGAAGAAGACAGTTTACTCATACACTGTATTGCTCTTCACGGTGAAGGTCGTTGGAACATGTTAGCCAAAAGTTCAGGTACCTACATATCTGCATTCTTTGATGATCTCGTCTGTTTTAATTTCTTCTTTTCAGATTCCTGATGATAATGATCTTGTCAGGATTGAAGAGAACTGGAAAGAGTTGCAGATTGAGGTGGCTCAACTATCTGAAACCAGACATCAAGAGAGGGAATTTAACTCCTCAAGAACAACTTTTGATCCTTGAACTCCATTCCAAATGGGGTAACAGGTACTGATGGATTCATAAAATGAATCGTGATGAAGACACAATTTTGTGTTGTTCATAACTGGAATAATATGGTTTTTTGTGGGACAGGTGGTCGAAAATTGCTCAGCATCTGCCAGGAAGAACAGACAATGAGATCAAGAATTACTGGAGAACAAGAGTTCAGAAACAGGCACGCCAGCTCAACATTGAGACTGGTAGTGACAGATTCATCGATGCTGTTCGATGTTTCTGGATGCCTAGGTTGTTACAAAAGATGGAACAAAACTCTTCATCTTCCTCTTCCTCTGTCACAACCATGAACTCTGAGAATTCTGCAATTAATGTCCCTTCCCTGTCTCCTCCACAAGGAGAATTCGCAGATATCGCAGTAAATCACACAAGCACCACCATCACCAACAACAACAACATTAGTAATCTCAGTTTCCCAGATCATAATTCCCTGCAAGTCCAAGACCAATTTGAAATATCAGAAAACCCGACAGGATCTACTGCTCCTGTTGTGTTCGAGAACTACAACAATAATGTCTGCTTCAATCCAGTTCAAGATCATAGCTTTGGCATGGAAGGGTTAAACTTGGATCCATTTTCAAGAAGTGAAAGTAATTATGGGATTCCCCAGTTTGATTATTGTCAGAGTTCGGAAAGTGAATGGGTTTTGAGCGGCATGGGAGAATATTCTTTGTGGAACTTGGATGAAATGGGACAGTGAAGATGGAAGAACAGAAAGAGAAGAGGAGAGCGTCTCGTTTTTATCTTGGGATGCTTAGAAGAAAAAGAAAACTGGACTTCTATGTTCTGCATAATTATTAGTCAGTCAGTGGGACTTAAATGTCTCCATGATAGGTTATTCTGCCTTAGGTGTTAAGGCTTCCCGTTATGAGATATGTTCAGTTTAGCAATTCAAGTATGATTTGTGGATTATTAAGACTAGCTAGCGGTTCTCTGTTCAAGATTATTAATTATATTTAAAAATTAATGTAATTGGACAAAGGTGTTGTGTCTTTGGTTGATTGATAGCGTATTTTATAACAAAGTTTTGTTTCTTTTTTCTTTTTTATTTGATTTTAAGATCTTTATTTATGGAAGTCCTTCTAACTTAAACAACTAGTTAGGGGTTTGAATCTCAATTTTGTTGCATCTAGTAACTTTGTTATAAGAAGTCTAGCATTTGTCCTTGATACTTTAATATCTGATGTTGGCAGGCTCCTTATGCTTATATAAATAAATAAATAAATAAAAAGGTCTACATTATTTTTTGGAAGAATCACATTCAAGAACCTTTTAAAAAAAGTATTTGTAGACAAGGATCAACATGAAATTTTTTGATATTAAAATAGCAACAGAGACTTGTTTTTTTTTTTTTTTCATAAATGATCATTTGTTGTTGATCCTTATTTGTAAATAATTTTCTTGAAAGGTTCTCGAATACAATTCTATGTTATGTCTTTCTTAAATTTAGACTCTTTTAATCACTAACTAATTTGTAATATTGCCTCTATTCTATTACATTTTTATTCTAATTATAAATCTAAGGACAAAATTGCAAAACTTATATCTAGTGATGGATATAGAAAATTTAGGCCTTGGATAATTATTGTTAAAAATATGAATTTACACACTCTAAAAAAAATATTGAATGATTTTCTGTTGCCTTTAATGCAATTAAAAATTTTTTTATATATTGCCCAAAAAATATTTTTTATATAAATAAATAAATATAATCATTCAATCATTTATAGGACTTTTTTTAATAATACATGGAAAACATCATTCATAGGACTTTTATATTCCATATTCTTAATGAATACTTCCTTCAGTTTTTATTATAAGACACTTTTAATTATTTCATGTATATTAAAAAAAGTTAATTTTTTTTCTTAATATCATAAAAAAATAATATGTACTTTTATTTTTACCTTTGACTTTAGATAATAATACAATTATATTAAATACTTTTAAGCTAATCAAGAAAAAGAAGTGATTTAATTATTATAAAATATCTTATATTTTAGACTAAAAATTACTTTTAATTTTTTTTATAAATAAGATCAGAAAAAGTAAGTAGCAGAGAAAGTTTGTTCAATAATTGTAGTTGCTACACTAAAGCTAACTTTGAAAGGAAATTAATCGAAAGGATATACAACATCTTGGGGGGAGGGTTCCTCCCTTTCTTTTCTCTCCTTTTTTCCTTCCTTTTTCAATCCTCACCATTCATCGAATTCGTAATTACAATAAATTTATTTAATAAAATAAATTTAATGGTGGGAATTGGGAAAGGGAGGAAAAGGTACTAGAGAAAAGAAAGGCGACCCGTTTTCATATCTATTGATCTTTCTTTCAGTTTTGATTTTTGAACACTCAAAACAAGATAAAAAATAATATGCATATTAAATATTACGTAGGCATCTGTAATAAAAATTAAATGATATTTGAAATTAGAAAAAAAAACGGTGAACATTATATGAAGGGAAAATATATTTTTTTTAAGAAAATCTAATTTCAGAAGAATGGTATTGTGTTCCCTTTCAGTTGCTGAAGTGAAAATCAAATTGAATTTTAACAGTTAATTTCATCGAAGAATTGTCAAATCATTTTTTAAATCTAAAAATCGACCAGCCAGTATATTTGATTAGTTGGAAATAATGAATTTTTATTTTAAAATATTTCATCAGAATGTTAAAAGAAAATCATAAACCAAAATCGAAGTCTCTCAACCAAGAAAGGATGAAAACATAGAGTATTTCTAAGGCCTCCAAATAATTTAAAAAAAATTGCACCTAAAGCTAGATATATTCTGAATTTATTCTGAAAGTCCAAATATCTCATATGCAATATATTTTTTCAGTAAAAAGACTCATCTATTCAGAAAGTCCAGATATATGTACAACAAAATTTTCATATATAATATGACAAGATTATTAATAAATTAATAATATAATATCTGTTCATTATACATAGTTTATGTGGTTTAATTAAACAATAATATAAGAGTTCTTTAGGTGTATGAACAACATAATGTCCATATATAATATGATAAGGTTCATACGTTAACAATATAATGTCTGTTAATTATATGTAATCCTTGTGGTTTAGTTAAATAATAATGTATAAATTTGCCATTTGTATAAACAATAGAATGTACATATGTAACATGATAAGATTCATAAATTAACAACACAATATTCAATTCATTATATATAGTTTGTATGGTTTAGTTAAATAATAATGTACTTTTCAAGTACATAAATAATAAAATATTCGTATATAACATGATAAAGTCCATACATTAACAATACAATATCCTGCATACAATGCTATTTTTTCAAATGAGGAGAAAATGAGTCTTTTCATTAGAAAATATATTTACATGTAAGGCTTTTGAGCTTGTAGAATAAATTCAGAATATATTAGGCTTTAGATGCTAACTCAGGTGCCAGTTTTTCTAGAATATAAGGCCACATGTGCATGCAAATAATTAGAGTAGGCTATCTATGTAAATTCTGCCCAGGTTAAGATAAGCCTGAAGTTATAAATAGATTTTATAATGTGTGACTTATATATATATATATATTTTGATGGATTGAGGGATTTGGAGATTATATTATATTCCTTCCATTCAATATTATGAAGCAGTTTTTAAAGTATCATATTAAAAATACAAAACATTTTGGGCTTTTCAATACACAATCAATAATTTTTTTTAAATATCTTTAATTAGGGAATGTATTTAATAAGATTTTTTTTACTTGAGACACTATATTAAATAAAGGTAAACATAAAAAAGATATATAATTTTAGAAACAACTAATTAGTATATAATTTAATTAAAATTATTTTATAATATTGAATAAAAAAGATTTTTTTAAAATAAAGGGGGAATATTTAAAGTAAGGACTAAGGAGTGAAGTCTCGTGAAGTGGAGGCAAAAGGAAGGTAATAGCATTCAACACGGCATTGGAAAGGGCTAAACCAACCTGTTTTAATTTTTACCAACGGACGAAAGGGTCCAGCTTGGCTTGGCTGAGTAGATTGCCCGACATTGTGATGGGATCTGATTTATTCAAATATAATTTACATTATTTAAATTTAAAATTTTAATTTTAAATAACAAATTTTTTAATACAATAGAAAAAAAATGACAATAAAATTCATCTTAAATATATAAATAATAATTTGATCCTTCAAAATGCCATAATTCATCTTAAATCCTTAGGGACTTTCTATCATTAATGAATTTATATAAATTATTAAATTGTCCTTATTGAAAATAAATAATTTATAATTTTTCTTCTTATATTCACAACTTTTTTTCTTATATTCACAAAAATGTAATAACAAATAAAAAATTTAACATACGAAGTTATGATTTGTTGTTACATTATTGTGGATATAAGAAGAAAAGTTACGGATATAAGAGAAAAAGTTATGAATCATTTATTTTCAACAAGAGTATTTTAATAATTTAAATAAATTCATTACTGACAGAAAAATTTCTGAGGACTTTAAGAAAATTATGACTTTTCGAAGGATCAAATTATTATTTATGTATTTTAGAAAAATTTTATTGTCATTTTTTTAAATAAAAGTTAAAAACATTATTTTTATTTTTTATCATGTATTTATCAAAACCAATTTTTTAAAAAAAATATAAAAAAAGTTAATACTAAATTTAAATTGTCTCCATTTAATCTAGATTGTCTACAAATCTAGAAAGAAAGAATCAAAGGCCACCGAAAACAAATTGGTGGACGCATGGGAAGTGAACAGTAGCGCATCTTTCGTTCGCTACTGTTGATTTAGAGCCCTCCTTTGATAATTGATTCCCAACATTTATGGAGGAGGTCAATTCTATAGTTCTTACATCTGTCCTTGTCGCCCAATAATTTCTTATTCATATTCAATATAAATTAAAATTTAAAATTACTTATAGAAACTTTGTGTTTAATTAAAGCTCTTTTTAACTTAGGTGCAATGTTAAGTATCAATATCTATAAATTTTTTGAAAGACATGTCATTCAAAATTCCATAAATAATATGACTTTTAATTTTAGGTTATCATTAAATAAATAATTAGGTTAAAGTATGCTTATAGTACTTTAACTTTTCATGAAATTTTATTTTAATCCTTTAATTTTATAAAGTATTTTAGGTTAAATGACAGAAAATACACTATAAAATTAAAGAATTAAATTGAAATATTGTATAAAGTTAGAAGATTTAAAGTATATTTTAGCTTAAATAATTATTTCTAAAAATCATTAAAGATGTAAGTTTAGTCATAATAAAAAGGATTATATATAGTTGTTTAAATATGAGACTTTGTGTTTGGTTTGTGTAAATATCTTTTAAGAGAGTTACATAGTTCATCAAAGTCAAGGTTAAATCTTACAAAATAACATCCTAAGATTCAATTAAATTTATTAAAATTGACCCATTTAAAACCTAATCCTTTAAGGGGCTGACCTTTAAGTTGGGCTAGCTTTAATTAGCAGCTCTATGTGTATTAAATATTTTATTTTAAACTAAAAAAGTTATTAGAAAAAATATATGTTTTGTTGTTGTTATTTACATTACGAAGTTGACTTCTGCACACATTTACGTGAGAGATTTTAATAGTGATTGTTATCTAATCAACTTTACGAGAAAGTCATGTCCAAAGTCTAATAATAGAAGTGAGTGGCGGAGGTTGAACAAAGGACAGTGATTGAAGAATGATAGGCTAGCAAGTTCATCCATATTCATAGATGGTAAGTGATTGATGAGATCCGAAAATAATGAGAGTACTGCTTTAGATGAAGAAGGTGATGATTTTAAAGTTGAGCAGCATAGACCTGCAAACAGTGTGGTTGAGGCATTTCAAAAATCATTGCCGTTGCTATTTTTTCATAATTAGCGGCTCAATGCCCTAGTCTACAATTTCATGCCACCAACTAAAAGTTACAAAAAAAAAAAAATTCTACCCTTTTCAACATTTAATAGTGTATAGTATTGAAATCTAAATTAATTT